CAATGTGTTTTCTTACCGCCTGGACCATTAAGGATTGTTTAGTTTAAGTCTGCTGAGCTCGGGCTTGTAGAGACTGAGTCTCGAAGCCCAGTTGGAATGGTTGCCACCTTATGAATATATCCTTGGGCCTGGCTTCAAATTGGAGCCCATTTTACATTTTAATGATGCATCCGAAACTGGATCGCAACTGATCGGTAGCAGGACTTTGCCATCTTCACATTGAGTCCAAATACAAGGTCCAAGTAATAATAGTTTAGCTTCATAGCTAAAGCTTTGTATACAAACCGCTTTCTATTGAGCCTGGTTATATCAATAATAGGTCCAGTTATAAAAAATAAGTAATGAGACCATGGGGGTCTCGATTCAGGCCTGTTGACTCTATTTCATTCTTTACCTGGGCCTATGCAAAGGCCCGTGACTGGACCATTCCTTGCAAAACCTGGCAGCAATTTTCTCACTCTTGGGCTGGTTTAAAAGCCCACTGTGCTGAGAGCTTGATTTCTTCTAAGACCAGGTAATTTGATTTGGTAATGCAATTTGGGCCTTCCAAGTTAGGTAGCGAATTTAAATTAAGAGGTTTTCCTCTTGTTTAAGTTCGGACTTGAACTTGAGGCCCGAGTTTTGTAGTGTTAAGTAATTAGGCCCTCTAGAGACAACACTTAATAGAAAATCATAGTTCCTTTAGGTTGGGCCTTTAAAATAAAATGAGGTGCGCCGCGTCAAACAAAAATCATAAATTGCATGGCCCTCTTTAAATTCTCGTATTAAAATACTTAGAAATCGGGACGTGCCATTTAGCAAATTTTCATGGCCTCCCGCAAAGTTAACAACACGTTAGTCACTTTAGGCGCGTTCTTTAATAATTTTACCTTCCTAAACTCGGGTGTGCATTTCGTGTGACCCAAATCCAATTCCCAAAATGTTGAATAAAATATGTCGAGGATCCAGGTGCATTTCATGTGACGTGATCCAAAAACATGTTTTAAACGACGTTCAATTTCCTAAAAATTAATTAAAAGCGGTAAATAATTTAAAATTGTACTATAGGTGTGAACATGTATTAAAATCAGATAATATACCAATTGTAATAGTTTAAGCGACCGTGCTAGAACCACGGAATTCGGGGGTGCCTAACACCTTCCCCCAGGTTAAAAGAATTCCTTATTTAGAATTTCTGGTTCGCAGACTTCACAAAGAAAGTCGAAATCTTCCTCGATTCGGGATTCAAAATAAACCGGTGACTTGGGACACCAAATAAACTATCCCAAGTGGCGACTCTGAATAAAATCGAATAAATAATCCCATTTCGAATAATGTCACTTAAATTGGAAAAACTCCCTTATACACTATCCTTCAGGGTGGGTGTAAAAAGGAGGTATGACAGGTACTACAATCAGAAAGCAAAAATAAGTAATAATAGAAGTCAAGGAATATGAAAATACACAAATGACACTAAGCCATGTTCTAAAGCTAGTGTTACAAATAAGGACAACGCTCGGCTACCTCATTTACCTTTATTCTCAACCTCCATACCTTCCTATCCATGGTCATATCCTCAGTAAGCTGGAGCAACGCTATATCTTGCCTAATCACCTCTCCCCAACTCTTCTTCAGTCTACCTCTACCTCTCCTTAGGCCCTCCAGGGCCAACCGCTCACATAACCTCACCGGTGCATTTGTGCATCTCCTCTTCACATGTCCGAACCATCTAAGTCTCGCCTCCCGCATCTTGTCCTCCACAGGGGCCATGCCCACCTTGTCCCGAATAATTTCATTTCTAATATATCTAACCTAGTATGCCCGCACATCCATCTCAACATCCTTATTTCAACCACATTCATCTTTTGGACATGGTAGTTCTTGACTCGCTAACACTCCACCTCATATAACATAGTCGGTATGACCACCGCTCTATAGAACTTACTTTTAAGTTATGGTGGCACATTCTTATCGCACAAAACACCAGAAGCGAGCCTCTATTTCATCCACCCCTCCCCAATACGATGTGTAACATCCTCGTTGATCTCTCCATTCCCTTGTATAATTGACCAGGGTATTTAAAACTTTTTCTCCTAGGGATGACTTGAGAATCAAGCCTCACGTCTTTGTCCACTACCTGAGTCGCACCATTGAACTTGCACTCCAAGTATTCTGTCTTGGTCCTGCTCAACTTGAAACCTTTAGACTCCAGGGTCTGTCTCCAAACCTTTAACCTCTCATTAATACCGTCTCGCATCTCGTCAATCAGTATAATGTCAACTGCAAATTCCACCAAGATCTCGTCTGGACCGATCGCTCTCCCCCTGCTCATCTTACGCATAGCCCCCTCAACCTCCTCGACTCTTATACACCCCTAATACCCAAAGTCCCGACGACTCTCAGAGTGCTCTAATTCACCTAGCTCGATGTTCCTATCCCCCCTCTTCGTTCAAGTCTGCCATCTTCGTCGAATAAACGATTGATGTAAACAAGTATCATAATGTGAATTAGTGGAGCTAGTGGATTCCGAGTTTTTAAACAAACAACGCAAACTAGTACCGGCTGTTGGGTTGGATATACTTCCATAACATTCTAACTATATTAATAGATAGCGTATATGTACAAATGTGCCACACCTATTAAAAGAACAGAAATATAGGTAACGAAATAAAGATGCTGCTTTTTCCCCTGTTCTGTATTCATTTCTCTATAGAACTAATACTACTATCAGTTAAACGTTATTCAAAATCCTGCTATGTGTACAAGGATTTTTTCAAGAAATCAAACAATATAAAACTCCCAAGGTGGTTAAGAAACTTTACATGATCCTTGTAGAATATCGTGTGGGTTTAATTTCAGGAAGACTCCAATAAACCTAAGCTACAAATTTCAGACCCTGGTGGAGCCTCCCATTGAGCTGTCTTGTTCTTCATCTCAGCAAAATCGTTCACACACTGATCCAATTCTAAACCTTCAATTCGGCTTCTAGCTGCAGCAAGTTTTTTACCAGCCACTCCATCAAATATTTTCTCCCACCCGCTCTCCCATTCAGTATGAGCATCACAGAGCTCGAGCGAGTTATTAGCCCAATCCGTCCAACTCCATCCTTTATCTAGTCCATTCATGACTTGCTCAATGCATGAGCCGGTGCATGCAGGCTTGCAAGGCCGACACTTGGCCCCGCTTAAAGGGCCTCGACTAGAAAGCGCTGCAACCGGAACACCATAGTGGGAGGGTGGAAATTCGTATTGACGATCCGTCACAACACAAAAGGGTAGGCGCATAGTTTGGTAGGGAACTTGTTGAGTGGTAAGTTGGGCTCTGAAGGCAGTTTCTGAGTTGAGGAGACGATATCCTGCTGAATCCAGTTGGGAAATCATGGAGAGCCTTGACAGAGCAACCACTGATGTATTGTAGTCGCCAACACCAAACCGATCGTTTAAGCCACCGTAGGAGGAACCTGGAGGAACAAGGTAGTGACCGGGAATGAAGTTGTCGGGGGCTAGTTTTGCTGACCAGTAGCCATCAACTCTTGTCCGGATTATCCAGTCATAAGTGAAGTTGTTCTGCTTTTGGTAAGCCTGGATCATCGTCAAACAACCTTCTACCAGGTTGAAATATTGCAGCAACCCCTACAATGGATAACATGTTGGCTTCATTTTCAGAGGACAAAGAGAGGGAAAATGGGAAAGGGAGAGAATAGCTAACCGCCATGAACAAAAATTGCACTCGATATTTACACCAAACTAAATTAACACTTCACATATATCGTGTATATAACTTTTCAGTTAATCATGATTAAATAATTATTACTATGTATTTTCACTTTAATCTACAACTGTTACGGTAAAATACTTTAACTAAGCTTAGTATGGACAAGTTGACAACAATTGTTTAGCGTAAGAATAGCACTCATGAGAGATTTGGGATATGATGCTACAGATAAAACCCCTCTCTCTCTCTCTGTTTTTTGGCCCGAGTGCATAATACAAGGAAGTAGCACATTGACAAATTGCATTTATTTTCCCCAGAAATCTCCTCCCCTCCTTTTGCTTATGGCGTAAATTGCTTATACCTTTTAGTAACTTAAGTTGTGAATTACCTCAAAAGTCAGAAGCACTATTTGTCAAAAAAAATCATCAAAGTTTTAGATTTGACTTTGATTTAAGAAACAAGTGGATCTTTCTTTTTGCGTAATTTCATCACTTCACTTTACAAATTTTTATTTTTTTTTTAATAACTAAAACTATATTCAATTCTCCTATGTTCTCTTTTTCCTCGCTCAAGTGGTGTAGGCGTAAATATCACCTAGTTGGATGAAGCTGAAAAGATGAACCAATAAAAATTCTTTAGCTGAAAGTGCTACCTTTACCTAATCGAGACCCACCTATTGTAATACATTTTCGTCGTTTTCCTCTATTTAATTTACAGGAGAAGTTGTGATTTGGTCACGGCACAACTGAGCTATTGGTTGCCAGATTTCACCAAACCAAATGTTACAACTATTGCTTCCTCCAGAGAATGACAAACATTATTATTTGAAAAGTAATATGTTGTTCGCATTATACCATATTTTATGCATTTATTTTCAACCTAATTCTAGAATCCTTTTACCTTTCAGGTAATATCAAACAATACTAGTATTATCTTAACCTAACTTTTTCCTGCACGAAAAAAGAAATTTTCAAGCATTTTTAAAACAGAAAAGACTGTCAAACATTTTTAAAAATAAAAGGCTTGATTTATATTTTACATATAACTGTTGATATTCAAATTCACATAAAAATGCGTTAGTCATCAACTAACCCGAGACCCTGATCTGAAATGTCTTAGGGGTCATTTGATAGGGTGTATAAGAATAGTGCGGAATAAGGTGTATTAATAATGCATGGGTTAGTAATGCAAGAATTAGTTATGCAAATATTATTTCTTATCTACTGTTTGGTGTGGTGTATTAAAATTATAATGCATTGCATAATTTTTAAGAAAAATAGTTGTTTACAAAAATGCCCTCCATATTCTCTAGCTTCAAGCTACTTTAAGGATAATTTTGTCTTTAACCATACTAATGCATGCATTAATAGCCTTGGTATTACTAATGTCATTGTTTTCTATGCATTACTTATACATAGTATAATATCAAGTATGATCACAAGTTGAAAAAATGTACCAAACAAGGTATTAGTAATGCATAGAGCTAATGCTTACATTATTTTTTCTAATACGTCCTACCAAACGACCCCTAGAGATATTTTCTTAATAACGGTAGTGCCTGGGTAAGGTTCCTCTACCAGCTATGTCTTTTGCACTCTTTAAAAATATTATCTTATTCGTATTGAATTCTCCAAAAATACACAACTGGTAAAAAATCCGACACGTCATTTTTGAAGAGTTCGAACAACATAACCCACCAACATACTACTTAGATAACTCTATACACAAACTTAAGTAGATGAAAAATATCACCTAATGGAGTAATATTTTCCGTCAATAACCGAAATTTGAAATCTGATCTCTAAGGTTTTTACTCACTTCATTCACCGCAATCTTAAATGGAAAATCACACAAACTCATGGAGATACATTAAGCTAATCTTAGATTAGTTCCACTAAAATAACCAGAAAACTGACTTTCTTGAGAGTTGCTTTTGCTTTGGTATTCACCAAAAAAATGTCGATTACTAACTAACATGCGCCGCCAGCTAAATAAGCCTTTTAGAATTGCGTCGGGTGCAACGAATACGCCACTAATATCTCTTTGTTCCTATCCTAACCAACAAACCCTTTTCTCCAAAAATATTGTGTCCATCAAAAGCTAAATTATTTATAATTGTTTTCCGAAAAAAAAAAATCAGAGGAGGAGGAAAATGAGAGAATATACCTGTATGCCATTAGGTGAGTTTTGAGCAGTGAGAACTCGGAGTTGTGACTCAGTTTCCGGTATGGGCTGTGGCCGGAAAATCTTAACGGCAGCAATTCTAGGAGTAGCCTTCAACAAGGAGAGCTTATAGGCCTTAGAATCCAAAGGACTATGGAGAAAAAGATCAGAATTCGGATAAACTTTTAGAATTTTCTGGATAATAGAAGGCCCAGTGAGTTCAAACCTACGGGCCCCACCCACTAAACACACAGCGATTCTCGACCGATCCAACTCGTCCTTCGTAATACTCGCCGGAAATATCGACCCAGAATTAACAACAGAAGTAGTGCTAAATGGGGAAATTTTTGAAGAGAAAGATATATAAACAATGAGAAACATAGGTGGGAGTATTAACAGTAACTTCTTCCAATGAAGATCCGAAATCCATATTGTAAACTGCTGTTGAATTTTGGAAGGATTTTTTAACATCATTTCTTTTTCTTCTTCCAAATATTGGGCGTCGCTCATCCTTATAGAAAAAAGTTTTGAATATAAGATAAAGGAGTAAAGGTGACTTTTCAACTACTTAAGTTAAGAAGGGATATTTCATATGGTTGAATCATGAAGGAAGCGTTGAATGGCTCTTACTTTTTCTGGATTGATTCAGACGATATATAGTGAAAATGACAACCATCACTGGTGCAGGTTGATTATGTGATAATAATAATGATGATTTATAGTTATGAAAAATTAAGATGGAGGTAATAGAGTAATAATTATGTATGTATATAAAAAAGCTTTATTAGCTGTCATAATAACACTTTTTCCTTTAGATTTTATTTGTTTATTTTTAGTAAATTACGTGTATGAATCTTGTTAGAAGTTACTAATACTATATTTTAATTGTGTTCTCGAAAGCAATAACTTGTGCATAAAAATAGTAAAAACTTTTTCACTCTCTCTTTTAGTTAGTTGATGCAAAAGAAGAATTGTACAAAACGAAAATTAAGCTTCCGATTGCCGTTTTTATGTGTCTTGCCGTTTTAGAGCTTGCTTATTTTGAAAAGTATTTTTGTTCTGAAAAAGTACATTTGCAAAACAATAGTTTGCGTCTAACCAATTCATTTGAATAGTCTTTTTTGCAAAGTCATTGACCAATCTTTCCAAAAAATACTTTTAAATTTCAAATTACAAACAAAAAAAAAGGACAATAAAGGTTCAGTTTGCAAGTAGTATTATTTTTAAAAAAAGTTAAATATTTCTTATAAAAGGATTAATTAAAATACAAAATATAAATTAAATTTTTTAATCAATATAAAAATATAGTTATTCCAAAGTAATAACATTGAGTATCTAGTATTAATTATAATTTAATACATGATAATTTAAATATATTAAAATAAATTATTCAATATAAATTAAAAATTTACTCTTAGGAATAGAAGAAAGAGAATAAAAATACGATTGAAATAAAAAAGAGAAGAAATGTATGGTAAAAATAAAAAAGGAAAAGGAAAATGTTAAATTAATGAGGAATAATTTGAAAAATATAATTTATTGTAAGGTTATTTTTGTCTTGTATAAATTAATTTTCTACTTTTGCTTCATGGAATAAGTTAGAATATGTATTTTCTTCCCAAAAGTAGAAAAAATACTTCTGCTACGGTTCAAAAGTATTTTTTTCAACTTGGCCAAACTCCTCAAATTTTTCAAAAACTACTCGTTTGACAAAAATAAAAATACTTTAGGCTTCCTAAAAGTTTGGCCTACCAGGCTCTTATGTTTTTAAGAAAATGTCGTACTTTTATATTTAATAAGTTTTCTAATTTCAACATTTTAATCGTATCCTTAATATCGTTTCCACATAAGAATAACATGATATACGTAAGACCATAAGATTCAAATAGTACTTTAGATTTGTTATACACACTTTTAGTTAAACACTACGAATTTCAAAAAAAAAAAATCTTTATAATCTTAAAGTTGTTCCTAATTAAATTAAGTCACATAAAATATATACTCCCTCTGTTTCATATTAGATGAGGTACTTTCCTTTTTAGTTTGTTCCAAAACAAATGACACATTTCTAAATTTGACTTTATTTTACACATTTACCCTTAATGAGAAGCTTTTATAGCCGCACAAATGTCATGGCCCCACAAACATTTTACCTTTAAGCTTTTAAGACCATAAATTTTAAAAGTCTTTATCTTTTTTCTTGAACTCTGTACCGAGTCAAACTACCTCATCTAATATGAAACAAAGAGTAGTATATTACAAATCTATATTGGAGATAAATTTTGAATGATTGATGAAATGGGGTTATGTTCATTTACTAGTTTAATTACATAAAAATTCAAATATGTGAACTCTGTCTTGCGGATTCTTATATGTCCACACCGATTAATTACCAAAACATTTTTTAGGGAGACCAGACTGCCGTATTCAGCATTTAATGTTTATTTAATTGATAATTTCGTCTACCAGTTGTAAGAGTATTTCTTTCGCATGTTATCTTAAATTTTTTGGATTTTTACATACCTATACACTATTGGAAACTTTATTACCATTTCTAGTCAAGTTTCAATTTAATTACTTCATATATATAAATTTACCAATTATATACACTTTAGAAATTAAATGAGTATTCCTTTATATTAGGAATCAATTATTTCTCATCCTTATTCTCTCTCTCTCTCTCTCTCTCTCTCTCTCTCTCTCTCTCTCTCTACCTCTCAATCCCTAATTCCAATAATATAGAGCAAAAGAAAAGAGAGCAACAATTTCACCATTGACAACCATTAAAAAGCTTTGAAGCTTGAATTGAATTTGGGTTTTCAAAAATATTATTTCTTTGAATTGGGTGTTGTTGCAAGCAATTGGGAATTTTCTCTACATCTCTCTCTATCTCTCAATCCCTAATTCTATAATGTAAAACAAAGAAAAAGATAGCAGCAATTTCCACCATTGGCAGCCATTAAAAAGCTTTGAAGTATTGAATTCGAATTTGATTTTCAAAAACCATTATTTGTTTGGATTGGGTGTTGTTGCAAACAATTGGGAATATAATTTGAAGTTTATATCTCAATTTTAAGGGTGTTTTGGTGAAAATTAGTACCTACTAGGAATCAACTTTGTACATTTGGTTTAATATAAAAATAATTATCTTGAGTCCACCAGATCAATCAACTTTATACATCAGTTTCAATCTTGTGATCTTATGGCCTCTTGTCCACTTTAGCTTCCTCTTCCATGTTCTGACTATATAATAAAGAAATCAATTAAAACAAATGTTTCTTGGACATACTTCAAACGTAATCACAATACTAACCTTATTTTTTAGAGGAAAAAATGGAAATTGCCTTTCAAAAAATCAAGGCAACAAAAAATGGAAAAAGAAAGAGAGAAATTAATAAGGACATAGGTAATGAATGCAATGACAGATATGGCTTTAAGTTTTAACTTGGACGCAATGACAAATCACTTAAAAGATAATTTATTATCCATGATAAATAAAATTATTCATGATAATTATTGCTCTGGTGAGCACCCTCCACTTCCAATCAAGAGGTTGTGAGTTTGAGTCACCCCAAAGCAAGGTGGGGAGTTCTTGGAGGGAGGGAGGTGAGGGTCTATCGGAAACATCCTTTCTAACCTAGGGTAAGGATAAGGTCTGCGTACGCACTACCCTCCCCAGCACTAGTGGGAATATACTGGGTTGTTGTTGTGTTGTTGATAAATAAAATTAATTTAAAATTAAAACAAAAAATCTTTTATGAAATATTAAATTTCATCAACTGTGTAAAATTTGTTTACTTTATCAGTAAGTATACATTAAATCTGATATTAGTTAGGGGGAATAAAGGTCTGAAAGCATGAAAGCACGTGAACAATTAATATTTTTTCTTAGTAATATCATATTAATATAGTACGGAGTAGTTTTTCCATAAACAGTGGTCCTCAGCTACGACCTGAAAGAAAGAAAACAATTTGTTTAACCAAACAACAATATATTCATTAGTAATATAATGTCAAGAACAAAAAAAAAAAAAAGAGTAATATAATGTAGGAAGACTCAAGTTATTTGACCAAAAAATGATATAATAATTACTATGATATAATGCCAAGTATACATTGTTACGTTATTTCCACGTGGGGATGCCAATTGTGAGACGTTTCATTTTTGTCTAAGAGCCCGTTTGGCTTAGCTGATTTAGAGTAGCTGATAAGCATTAGGTGCTGAAAAGTACTTTTAACTGTTGAAGCTGATTTAAAAAATAAGCAGTTACGTGTTTGGATAAAAGTGCTGAAATTAATAATAAGCAGCTGAAGAACTAGGTATACGAAGAGTTTTGTTTTAAAAAGAAGTATTTTAGGGATAGAATAGTAAATATTTTGGTCAAACCTAAAGTGCTTATAAGCTGAAATTTGAGAAGTTGGGGGAGACCAACTTATGACTTTTGGCTTATTTTTAGCTTATAAGCACTTTTAATTTTACCAAACGCGTAGATAAATCAAAAAGTACTTATAAGCCAGTTTGACACCCTCTAATAATAAATTATTGTCATAAATTATAGAAGACCTTGCTTTGAATCAGTTGCTTTCCGCGGGGATTTCTTTTTTTCTTTTTTCTTTTTGCCAGAAAGATTTAAGTTAGATATTTTGACTGAGCAAATGTTTTTATATTACAGTGTAATTAAATTGTTACTTCAACGTAAATTTTTGCTATTAGAGTAATTTTATTAGCTATTGATTAATGTTTATCATAGAAACTGACATATAATTATCTTATGTAAATAACTTGATTATCAAATATTACCCATGCTTAAAACTCAAAACTCTCTTCAAAATAGTAAATTATAAGTTTCTAACGGTTGAAACATATGCATAAATAAAAGTAATTAAATAAAAGAAATATGGAAAATTTGGATACCACAATAAGTAACTATGTATACGAGAAAGGGTAAAATACAAGTTGTCAAATTTTTGGCACGTCAATTAAACTTGTAATTAGCTACAGGGGTCATTTGTCTTGATTAGTGCATGGTTCGGATTTACTGTTATACTACATTTGCATACAAGCAAAATTGCAATTTACTTTTTGGCAGCTCACACTTTGAAAAATAAAAAAGAAACTACTCCATTCGAGATCGTGCTATATAAGTATGTTTTCAAAAATACAAGCATGCTTGAGATGCAAGGATAAGCAACGTGATTAATTATCATTTTCCCAACATGAAGATGTTTAAATATTGCAAATTGATTATTTAAAAGAAGCTAATTAACGATTGGGCGGTAACACCTTTACGTGTGACTTGCACAAATAGGATCAGTCAACGCTACTACTTAAGTTTTGATCCCATTAATAAGTTTCGTAATAACTTGTGTCAAAGTTTGACCACAAATCCTAATGAATCATCAAACGTTGAGATGGAAGGGTAAAGAAAAACTTGAAAAAGAAAAAAGAATAAGAAGAAGAAAAAAGTAGAACAAGATCTAATATAAAATTTGCATGTGGCAGTAAATTATGATTTGTTAAAAAGTTTAATGCTTTCATTAGTTGGGTTTGAAAATTGAAACTAAGGGCAAATATATACCACTTATTTAATGACAAGGGTGTATGGGCTAAAAATTATCATAATTATATGTGGGCCTAGTCGACATTAAGAACGCCTTCGAAGGTCGCCATGTGCTATCGATCAGTTAATCTAGGTCGACGTCATGAGGTCGA